CCAATTAAAATTAATTAATACGTTATCCTAGCAAGTATGAACTACAGCAAGATATATGTGCTAGGATAAGCAATATGAACAACAATGATTAGGGTCTTATGCTAATCTAATCCGATTTTATGCCAATTAAAATTAATTAATACGTTATCCTAGCAAGTATGAACTACAGCAAGATATATGTGCTAGGATAAGCAATATGAACAACAAAGATATATCCTAGATGATGAATTATATATATGCAAGGATATATAAACTAACACAAGGGGTAAACAATATGAACTAGATAGTGGATCATATAAAAAATGAGACAATGGCGAAATGAGCAATGAGCATAAATAAGAATAAACGCCAAAGCACATTCAAACACACAATATGATCACGGAGTTCGGACCTTCCGTACTACGTCTCCGCTCCCCACTCCCGGGGAGAAATCCACTATCAACCGGGTTTTCTACGTTCACCCGAATAACGTTTACACCTCACAGTGTCGGTTTTCAACGCTCACCGAACAACGTCACTCCTCACACTCGGTTTTCTAGTACAAGTGTATTACAAAGTGATTCTCACAATAAGCACAAATATAACAAATGATTGTTCTCAAAACAAGGTGAGAACTCAATTAAGCACAACTCTTAGTCACAAACTCACAACCCTAAATTATACTATGCAGTGAAAACTTCCTCCTTTGTAAACAGAAACCCAAACTCAAAACAAACAGTAAAACCCTAAACCCTTGCTTAAACTTTTCTTTTCTTTTAAAACATTTCTTGGTTAGCTTGAGAGTTGAAGACAATGGGGTATTTATACCCTCTCACAACTCAGCCAAGAAACCAGAGCAAAAGACAAAACAGCCCCAAGGCAACGGTCAAAAAACTAGCCGTTGGAAGCTGAAGGAACACTCGTCGGTCGACCGGAAAATTCGTCGGTCGACCGAAAATTTTCATCGGTCGACCGGACCGGTCGACCGACAGATTTCTGTCGCTCAGAGAACTTATGACCTTAGGTTCGGTCGACCGGTGCGGTCGACCGAAAACGGGATATGACAGGTCTGAAAAATTGTTTATCTGATTTTAAAACGCTGTTTAAAAATATCAAATAAATTCTAAAAAATGTAAAACTTTGGGGAATGATTGTAAACATGATAATAAACATGCTACAGCGACTGGTTATCAAAAAGGACTTCCCAAATGAAAAATATCATCATTTTGCAAACATGTTTAAAAACATGAAAACCTGAAAATTGATATTTTGATATTTTGTCATAAACCAACTTTTGAAACTTTGTGAAATATTTTTATAGACTTAGTAAAACATGTATAAACTGATATTGAAGTCTACAAACTAAGAATACAATATTTTCACAAAATTGCATATTCTATGCAATAAATACCAAAACACAATAGTAAATATGAAACATGTGATTTCATACATATTCTATGTAATAAATACCAAAACACAATAGTAAATATGAAACATGTGATTTCATATTTATAAACATGAAAACTCAAAACTATGTATGTATATATATAACTATATATATGCATAGAAACCAAAACTTGTGTATATATATATAACTATATATATATACGAAGAAACCAATAAGATGTGTGTGTATAGATATTGAGCTTAGAGTATATAACACACATAATATAAAATCTAAAACTACATTACCCAAGCAATCTTGATCTAGATCTTCATTGAGCTCAACTTGGTACACGTTGCGGATGAAGCATGAACTTGGATCTTGAACTTTGAATAGCAAGGCTTAACCGACATTCCGCCAACCTCCTTTGGATATGATCGTTGAAGCTCTATTCCATCCATCCTCCAACAACGTTGTTTGTCTACAAAACATAGGAATGCACAAACACTAGACAAACAACATTAGTAATAAATTGTTTGTTAAACATCATCAAAACAAGAAGGCCAACAATCACTTCGTTCGGGATGTTCTTGAAGATGGCGACGTGGAGATTGTTAAAGTCCACACGAAGGATAATCCGGCGGATATGCTCACTAAGGTGGTTCCGAGCAACAAGTTTGATCATTGTCGAAACTTGTTGCACATTCGTGATTATTGAGGCCGTTGGAGTTTGATCATTGTCGAAACTTGTTGCACATTCGTGATTATTGAGGCCGTTGGCGGCCATTTGGATGAACTACGTTCGGCTTGATTCCTTAGGAAAGAGGATACGTAGGCAGTCTTTCAGATGCAGCCGGTTTGGATTTGTTGATTTTGATGGGGGTGAGATTGTTTGGACTCTCGTTTGAGTTCTCGACTTGTTATGGATTGACTTCGTACTGGCCACAACAAGTGAGACATTTGGTTACTTTGGTGTCGGCTCAGTTTTGAGAAAACTTCACCTAGGTGGAGAATTGTGAAGATGTGGGGGCCACAACCCACGTGAGGAGGAGAAAAACAAAACCGCGTGAATCAATCACGCGTGAAGAGAGAACCAATGCCGGCCCACCCGAATACTCTCATATATATATTACTGTTTGTGTTTTTTAGGTTTTCGGGCAAGGCTTGATTGATTTTGAGGGGTTGCGGCTGTGCACTTGTGCGGCTAGGTGCAAGCAGGATCGGAGTTTGGTTCCTTTCTCTAGGGTTTTGTGCAGCCTTTTGTAGAGAGATATTGTGAGGGATTTGAGAGTTTGTTTGAGGGTTTAGTTTGAGAGTAATTGTAAACCCTAGTTGTATTCTCTCCCTCTATTAGTAGATCTCCCCCCTCCTTGCCCCGTGGACGTAGGCAATTTGCCGAACCACGTAAAAATTGGTTGTATCGCTTTTGTGTGATTTGTAATAGCTTTTAGGGTCCCTCGACAGGTCAGTCCTAGAACTGATGAGAGGAAGAGCCGATATCTCACTTGGTTGAGATATCCGCTTCAGATTCTTGTCTCCTTGGTGAGACGGAAATTCTTATTGCGATCTGACTCTTTTGTTGTGCTGCCGAAGTGCTGCCGAAATTTCCGCTGCGCGCAACAGGTCGCCGTAGGTAAAATTCCACTATGTTCTAAAATGATTTACAAGCTGCGCAGTTGGGGTTCTGACAATTCGATCACTTAAGCGAATTGGGCCGGGTCTGAAAATTAGGCTCCACATAACCTAACACATTGCCAATAACTTGACCATGAGAAAAGGCGTGAAGATCGAAGGGATGGTTATGTCAATCGGGTTGGAAGTCACCAGCCCATGGGTAAGGTTCGTGTTGGATTGGCCATGGAGGCTGGTGGTATTAGACGAAATGTCATGGTTAGATCACTCGTCGATAAATTCGGTCGCACCACAGTGAGCGCCGAGTTTGGGGGGATTGGGGTGCCGGAGGGTGATGGTGTTGTCCGCTGAGCAGGACCCGAGGCTTTACAGAGGCCGGAAGGGCTTATTGCGAGGCGCTGAAGGAGAGTGGTAAGGAGCGACGGTGTTCGAGTCAACGTGGCCGGAGGCTGTGCATGGGTCCCATATTGCGCATCCAGAGACGGAGTTGGCTAAGGACGTTATGAGGAAGCTTGTTGATTTTATCCATCCAAAGTAGTCGTCCGAGATTTTAACGAGGGCTTGTTTGCTTTTATGTTTGTTACTTGCTTTGATGCGGTCATCGACCAGATCGTGCGTTTGGGTTTGACTCGGGTTTTATTGTCTTATTATGCTTTCGGTAATAAGGGGGTGTTTGGTTACATTTCTATAAATTATAGGAAATGTTTTCCATCCCAAATTTGATTTCCTTGTATTTCTTAAAAAAATTATAGGAAAAGTTTTGAGAAGTTAAAAAGTGCAAATTTTCTTATTTTTTGTATTGTGCTTGTTTGGTTCAAAACAAGAAAATGAGAAATAACTTTTGAGAAAATAGCAACATTTCCTATAATTTATAGAAATGTAACCAAACACCACCAACTTTATAGAAAAGTGAGAACTTTGTAGAAAAGAGTTAATGAGTTTTATTATTTAAATAATGAATGCGTCAGATTTCCAAGAGATTTCCTCCCATTTTAGAAGGAAATCAATTTCCATAAAATTTGGTACTTTTGGGCACTTTATAGAAAACATTTCTGTAAATTTTTTTGGAGCCAAACACAGTTTATAGAAATGTATAGAAAACTCTTAATTACATAAATGCCATGCGTCAGTACTTTTGAGAAAACATTTCTCAAAAACAATGCAACCAAACACCCCCTAAGTGGAAATTTACGCTGCTATGTGATGATTACGTGAGTGAGAAAAGTAGAAGCCTGTACAATTGGATACATGGGTGAATAGCACTTGTTGCCTTATTTAGTGGGCTTCGCAATTAAAAGAATTTATATATATATTATATAATGAATGTCATTTATGGAGCTCACTAGGTGAAAATATGTAATTGATGAGTTGTAGAAGATCTCTACAACAGGATGTAGAGGATCTCCATTTTTATTCTATAATTACATCGTGCCCCTTACTTTGGGTAGAGAAGTTTATACTTCTCATTGATTATAATAAAGATCTAACATAAGGCTAATTTGGAATAATGCCCAAGGTTTGAGGACCTAATATCAATTTCAACAAATTGAAGGACAAAAGTTTTAAAATATTAAAGATTTATACCAATCTCGAAAAACTCATCAAAGTAAAAGAAAATTACGTTTAATTTCTTTTTTTTTTAATCATAAACCAAAATTTATTCTCAACTTAAAGTTACACTTTCTCAAAGCAACATCCTTTGATTACCGTGACCTCCGCCCAACACCCGCATAATCCCACCAAAAAATACCGTTACCTTCCCCTGGACTATTCCCCTCTCTTTCTTCCAAAAACAGAAAGCACCCTTCAACCACCAACTCCCCGAAACAATAGACCTACCAAAAGCAAAACCAAAACAAGACAATTTCACAATCCAACCATCAACTGAACGTAGACACCAATTGATCCATCTCCGGCCATCCCCCAACCTCCCCCCCGGCCCCCTCGCGGCTGAGGCCGAGCCGAGCCGATCCTCCCACCCTCCAAAAAATCCTATTTAACAAGTATGGGAGATCGGCCGCTCTGCGGCTGCCGGCCCTTCGCCAAGGTCTACCACGCCCGCGAACCTCCAACACCGCGCGCCAGCGTCGCATCAAATGCATCAGCAAGCTCCGCATCGCGAAGAGTAACCTCGCAGCCAACATCCAGCGTGAGGCCTCGATCATGCGCCGCCTACGCCACCCCCACGTCGTCTGCCTCCACGAGGTCCTCGCCACCCGCTCCAAGATCTACTTCGTCATGGAGTTCCTTAAAGGCGGCGAGCTCTTCGCTCGTGTCTCCAATAAAGGTCGCCTCCCCGAAGACATATCTCGATCATTCTTCCAGCAGCTCATCTCAGCCGTCGCATTCTGCCATTCTCGCGGAATCTTCCATCGGGACCTCAAGCCGGAGAACATCCTTCTTGATGAGTTTGGTCGGATAAAGGTTTCCGACTTCGGGTTATCAGCAGCGGCCGACGTTCAAGTTAGGCCCGATGGACTCCTCCACACGTTGTGTGGGACCCCGGCATACGTGGCTCCAGAGGTTTTGATCAGGAAAGGGTATGACGGAGCTAAGGTCGACATGTGGTCGTGCGGCGTAATCCTTTTCGTGCTCAACGCCGGGTATCTCCCGTTTAGCGACTCGAACCTTATGAACATGTACCGTAAAATCTATCGGGGTGAATATAGGATACCGAGATGGATGTCGCCAGAGCTGAAACAGCTCATATCGAGACTGCTTGATACCAATCCGGTGACGAGGATCACCATCGAAGGCATCATTAGCGATCCATGGTTTAAGAAAGGGTTGGAGGAGGAGAAGATGAGGGCGATGATAAGCTTCGGCACCAACGTCGAGGAGAGGATGAGCAAGGCCGAGCAAGATGTCGAGCCTGACCGAGAGCTCAATGCATTTGACATTATATCTTCATCATCGGGGTTCGATCTCTCTGGATTGTTTGATGGAAAGGTCGAGCGGCCGGCTCGGTTCGTATCCTATGAGCCGACGGATTTGATACTTGACAAGGTTGAGGAGGTCGGGAGAAGAGAAAAGCTAGTTGTTAGAAGAAGAAAAGGGAAAGTAGGCGAGGGGCATAGCAGCCTAGGTTAGAGGGCGCACAATGGTAAATTTGGTGGCGTGGGTGGAGGCTGTATAGATTGTCTGCCAGGGATCGGTGATGGTGGAGGTGAGACAAGGTGGAGACCCAAGGAGGAAGAGCGTGGAGCAGTAGATTCTGGAAGGAAGAGAGCTAAAGGCCGGCTAGCGAGCCCCGTCACACCCCATCGACCCCCGATGGCCGGTACCGATTTCAGCGTTCGGGTCAGCAACGCGCCCTTGTTTCGCCTACGCCAGTGGCCTGGAAGTTCGTCGGCATTCACGGGTCGTCCGAACATGACCATTTCGTGAATTGGAACCTGTTAACCCTCTAGCTGTGGAATGATAATAAAAAGAGTGCTTATTTCTCCATCTCTTTTATGTTTATAAGTATATATATGTATAACAGTGTATATGTATGTATCGCTAACAAAAACTACGGAAATTATGCTTTCCCGGGTGACCGACATCTATCAAAATTTTGTACCCGTGCTTTTAATGTAATTAGGTAAGGACGCGGGTGAAACATTTTTGCAGACATTTTTCATTTTAATAAATGTATTTGTGGTATAAGTGATCAGGGATGGATTCCTTACTCTTCAGATCAATATTTGATTTTCAGTCCTCGTTTTTTAATCATTAGTGTTACTCTGTTAGTATATTATAACCTTCAGCCTGAACCCGGCCACCAAGCAAGTCTAGGGCCCAATACCCGACCTCTCAGCCTACATGACGCTGCAGTCTAAATAAGATCAACTATGTAATCTTTGTGTCTGACTGATTGACGTTCAAGGCACCTTCACCGTCCACCACCATGTGCCATTGCCGAAACACAGGGAATAGCAGAAAGCAAACACTAATGGGCCAACCACTGTCATTCACAGCAATCCCTATCACAATGAGCTCTACAAGCAAGCCTTTTCCCATCTAATAATAAAAAGATGGGTGGTGCTACAGGGACCCAAAAACATGGGACCCTATATGGGGACAGGTAAAGTGTCGGCTCTCTGTCCCATGATGTACTGTTTATGAACAGTGCATCATAGGACAGGGAGCCGACACCTCACCTGTCCCATGTAGGATCCCATGTTTTTGGATCCCTAAGGCATTTTTCTAAAAAAATTCTCTCTCTCCAATGTAAGCTCGTTATTTTAAATTGTGATACGCAATCTGCAAACACACTTTACATTCCAAGTCTTTAGAAAGAAAATTGTCGTCTATACTCACCAACTTGGGCGTCCAAGGGGCATTGGCCGGAACCCCAGCTCTCTGACATGTTTTCTCTGATCGCAGATCATCTGATTGCTGGAGATGCAAAGCTTTTAACAAGTCGAACCGACATTTCAAAGGAAACCCCTAGTTTCCTATCCTAAATACACCAACATCATCTTCACTAATCCATCCAGTCTCCGCTGTGCGGATCTTGCAACATGGAACTGGAAGATACGTGACAGTCCTACCATATCTCCCGTATTTAGAAGCACAGATACGAAAATGCATGTGGACATGGATTGTAGATCAGAACTTTTTTTATAATTCATAATATCAAAATATAAATAAGACTCAGATTTGAGAAACAAGTTTGGAACTGTTTAGGGATGGACATAAAATATGACCAAGATAAAATAAATATGGACATGATAGAACATAGTAGCATTTCTATGTCCTGTTCATTTAGTGAACGAGTCAGTGTCTGTTTACCACCAATTTGATTGGATAAATAGCGTTAATGGAATAATAGCTTACTATACACTGTACATACTTCGATGATTTATAGACATTCAATGTATGAAGCAATCATCTCCACATGTCCAGGATTCATCAATTTCTGCCCTATCATCTAGTTCAAACAGGATTTCCTTCAATCTAGAAGTCCCTTATCAAT